TATCTAGTAGCTATATTTAAAATAGTATAACTTAAAGTAATCAATACTAACGCTACCAACATTTCAAAAAGAAAGGGCCTTTATCAAGTTATTTATAATGTCACTCCTGAAAATACAAACCTTGATTTGCAAAACAATTTTCGAGTTTTGAGTTTTTGAGTGTTTTTATAGATAAGTATTTGTCTAAATACAGTGAAATTTTAACATTTTACTTTAGAATTTTATTTTATTATTAAAACTGTGTATACATGTAAGAATAGAAAAGGTAGGTATATGTCTTCAAAATGATAGTTTATGAAAAATATTTCATTACAATGCTTTGTGCAGACAGAGACCGCCTAAGGAGACTAGTAATGAGGTGTATAAAAGTCTAAAAATAAAATAAGTATATGTCCCCGTGAGGATGGTTACAGAAAAAAATAGCGATACACCGCATTGTATGGACTGTCCGCATAATTTTCAATCTTATAGAAATATATGAAGATGCGAGTGTATCGAAACTTTAGTTATAATCTCTGATTGAGTGAAAAAAACTAAAAAGGGTTTAATCCCCAGCAAAATTGATCCCCTAATTCACACAACAGTCATGTGGCCTCTTAAGGATTGCGGGACCGGTATGTGTGCGTGTGTGTGTGTGTGTGTGTGTGTGTGTGTGTGTGTGTGTGTGTGTGCGCGCGCGCGCGCGTGGGTGCGTGCGTGCGTTCGTGCGTGTGTGTGTGAGTGTCTGCAGCCTTGATAACTCATGAACGGATACAAAGAAAAACACCAAATTATAAACTTAAGCTTTATTCCGACCTCCAGTGAACTGATTAGATTTTGGGCAGAGTCATAATTTTTGTTCTTTACAAAATTTTCCTAAAATGGTCCGTATTCGAGAAATTTGACAAAATGTAAAAAAATAATTTCTAATAAAAATTATTCAAATAAAAGTTGTTTATAATATAATTTTCTATAATTTTTATCCAATACATAATTTCTCTAAAATGGACCGTATTCGAGATATTTGAGAAAATGTGTAAATTTCGCATTTTGAAGAAAACTCAAAAACGGATAAAGGAAAAAATATTAAATTTTAAGTTTTATTTCGGCCTGTGGTGAAATGATTAGATTTTGGACAAAGTTGGAACATCTGGGGGGTACCTACTTTATAGGAGGTCGTTTTTATATTTTATGGAATATATGTTATTTATGTTTGGAGAAGAAAATTATTCAAATAAAAGTTACTTCTAATATATTATCTATAATTTTTGTTTTATGCCAAATTTTCCTGAAATGGTCCGTATTCGAGAAATTTGACAAAATGTACAAAATTCTGATTTTTAAGAAAATTGTTAAACTAAAAGTTGTTTGCGATATAGATCTCTATAATTTTTGTTTTTACATGATTTTTCTAAAATGGACCGTAATGGAAAAATTGGAGGAAAAGTGCTAAATTTAAATTTTTCGGTATTTTTGTTTTCAATGAATATCTATAGAAAAGTGTTTCAAGTTAGATGTATGTGGAAAATGTATATATTTAGTTTATCTTCTAAATATTTATAGAGGTGCTGCAATAGGTTTTCCAAATAACCGGATAAAGCCTATAATAACTAGATAGGAAAGTCATGTGTTGGACACATTATATTTTTATATATACTGGTTCAAGGCCCAACTCATTATCCTCTGTAAATTTTAGTACTTTAGATTTGAAACCATTCCTTTTATATTTTAAAAGCAAAATATTAGAAGTTATTATTTGACTAGCCTTTCCCAACGTAGCATTAGGATTTTGAAAAATTTAACTCAGGGAGTGATCTTCGGCATCAGATATTTTTTGTTCTAGGCATTGATATCATTACAATTTTTAATTAGGTTATCACAATTTTGGAAACGACAGCTCCATCTAGTCCTACTCTGGTTTTGAGTAGTGACAATTCAAAGCCGCAACCGCATTGAAAAATTTTGCTGCATCCGTAACATATTTACACGTGTCTACTACTATTAAATTTATTTTGTGTGCCATGCAGTGCGTGTAAATTGCTTGAGGCCCTTGAGGGTTAGACGGTTTTATTTTTGCTTGCAATCCTGCATTTTTTTCAGCCATAACACTAGCACCATCATACGATTAAGAAACAATCAGAGCTTCAAATTTCGAGGCTTGTAAAAAACCTATGAATATGTTTTCTAGACCAGCAGCATCTCGACACGAGGAACAATCAATAAATCCTAGAAACTACTCTTCTATTTCCAAGCCTTTGGCCTAACGGACCACAACAGATAACTGTTTTGTTTTGTAGCAACGAGCTTCATCAACCATTAAGGAATCGAATCCACACTGAATAATTTCATTTACCTACTAATTTCTCTTTTTAAAATTATATCTGATGATATACAAATTAATTCGTTTTGAATGTCGTAATTTTTTTTGTACATACTAGTTCGTGAAATAGTGCCCATCTCAATCCGGCTCGGTTCGGCAGTGTAAAAGTGATGACAGGAATGAACACTATTTGAAAAATAAAAAAAAAAACATTTTCTTTTTGGTGGTAAATTTACTTTGTTAGAGTGGAGTAAACTTAAAATTTGATGCGCTGATTAGATCTACCTTAGTACCATGGTGAGGCTAAACCTCGGCATGGAGGTGGCTAAGCCCCCTTCAGACCACCCCCTTTCGCCGCCAATGGATAAGGGTCACCACGATGATTCTAAAAAACATATAGTTAATGGGTCTCGAGTCATTAATAACAGAGATATGAAGTTTGCTTATTTCTTTCGAAGATCATAACTAACCATACAGTGTATTTTTTTAAAAATTGGTTGCTCTTATTTCTCTTTTAGTGCCCAAACGACTGACGTAATAGCTAGCAGAAATATCAAGGTCCGTATTAACAAAAAAACTTATATATTTTGGTATCTATCAAACAATATCCTGTATATCAAAATTTTTAAAATCTGTTTTATAATTTTAAAAAAAGCACAAAACATTGAATAAAACAATGTACTCATGCAGTTCCGCATCCGATTCTACGGCGTCACAACTTTTTAAACAGAAGATGGTGGCCTCCCAAATCTTTTTGTACCTCAAATTGAAAACCTGGGTCTGCTACATACCTCAAGAATATTTTTAGTTTTCAAACTTTACATATCGCACTGCTTCTTTTTTCAGTGGACTCTTCGCCCAAAAAATGGTCCGACAAACTCTATGTTTTCTTTTGTATAATGATATAATAATGTACAGTCATCTTCGCAAGTCGTTCTTCTTGATTTATAATATATTTCTTTGCTCGCAGATTCATAAATTTAGTACTCGGTCATCATTTCTTTGCAGCCAAACTCAAACTGAGTCTCCCTCAAAGGAGACTCCACTTATATGGAGTAGAAACTCAGACTTGTGAGCACAAATTTATTTTTATTTATGAGAAAATTAAGGTTATACTCACTTCAAATTGTATATAAGAGTACCTACTCATGATGAGCAACTACCTTAAATTTTTATTTATACATATTGGATCATTTACTTCAGAATTATTAGCATTATTTATATTTATTCATATCAGCCAGTGTCATTCACAAATAAGATTTTCCTTCAAAATTTGGTGCGGGGTATTCAATGATGGTTTAATTGGGCCATGGGTTTTATCCCATAGGCTTACTGGAGAAGCATATTTAGATTTCCTCCAAAATATTTGGACAGTGTTACTCGAAGACGTAGATGTTGGAAGACTGTATTTCCATCACGATGGAGCTTGACCCAATTTTAGAGTTATTGTAAGAAATTTTTTAGGGGGGGCGGTCCTCACAAGTGGCGGGCGAGATCACTCGATTTTAATTCTGTAGATTATGCTATTTGGGGGATACCTAAAGTCTAAAGTTTATTCCACAGAAATAGTAAGGAAAACCTTTTACAAAGGATAGAAAACGCTTTTGAAGAATTAAGAAATAATCGAGACATCATTAGAAAGGCATTACAAATCGAGCACCAAAATGCATTGGACAAAACGAGGGTCATTTCGAGCAACTTTTTGTGATTTGATAACTTAGTTAAAATATCCAAAAAACTATATGTGTTATTGTTCTTTGTTCGTGTAAATGATTATTTAAAATGTTATTAAAATAATTATAAAATTTAATAGTTTGTTCTAAAACCGAACCTGCACTCACATTTTTAAAGAGTTTAATGAGATACATAAGTTCTACCAGACATATTTTACAAGATTCAATAGATCACACTAAATAATTTTTTTAATTCAATTAGAAAAATATCGCGACGAATTGATAACCTCCTCCTTTTTTGAAGTCGGTTAAAAATGAACTTTTTGAAATATTATTAACTGTTTTTTATTAAAAAGTTTAAGTTTAAAATTTCACCCGTAGAATGGGATGCGGAACAACCAAAAGTAAATTCAATATTCTGTGCTCTTTTAAGGTACAAAACGGATTTTGAAAATTCTGATATACAGGGTCTTGTTTAAAGGACACAAAAATGTATAAGATTTTGGTTATTACGGACCTTGATTTTTCTTCTGACTATTACGTTAGTCGTTTAAGTAGTGAAAGGAAAACAAGTAAACCAATTTTCAAAAAATATACTGGGTGGTTCGTTAGTTATAATCTTCGAAAGAAATAAGCAAATTCCATGAAACACCCTGTATATCTGTTATTAATGACGTGAGATCCATTAACCATAGATTTTTAAAATCATCGTAGTGTCCCTTATCCACAGTTACCGTTTGTCTGTTTACCTATGAAACACCCTATATATGTATAATAAATATTATTCATCCCATAAGAAAAGCAGTTTAAAAAAAAATACTTAAATATTTCATAATACATATTTCTTCCGAAATATTCCAAAGACTAGCTAAAACTGCCCCCAATCTTTTCATTTATAAACAACAATGACAAAACAAATAGTCCTTAATTACAAGAAATTATAAATAAATAAATATATTTAGATAATCGCCCACCAGCAAAAGATAAGAATATTGTGGAATCTAAAGGAAATGGTATACTCATCATCATTGAAACGTTTTGTTACCAAACACAACTACTTACAAAAATGAATAAGTATTTCTTTATTTTCCCAGTAATTTTAATAATAATTGTAAAAGACGTGTTTTCTCAAATTAGAAGAAACAGACCTGAAGATAAAACAAAGTGTCCAAGGGTTAGAGCAATTAGGAATTTTGATTTACAACAGGTAACAAAAGTTTATTAGGTACAACAAATATTTTGATTTATGTTTAGAATTTTTTTATAGAATTATAAATATTCATCTCAAATTTCTGTAGGGTGTCCGAAATTAAAATTGCGTGTACATTAAGCTACTACAGATTTATGGGCTCAAATTAAGTTGATTTAACCAAACTTACCTATCTAACAATTTACTTCCTTTGGCTACTTTGGGCCGCTAGAGGTCCACAAAGTTAAATAAAAATATCTGTTTTTTTCATTAAACTCAGTATTAAACCATTTTAAAAATCAAACTCATACTAAATGTTTTATGGTCAATTAAAAGCAATAGGAACAATTATTTTTCTATTGCGATCATAAGCGTCTCATTAGGGGGAGAACAACGGACATTTTTCCTACATTTCTTTTATCCCTTATTTTTTACATTTCTGGCGTTAAAATAGAAAACTATAAAGTTTTTCGGAAAAAAAAGGAAATGAATTTTAACTTTTCATGTTACCATATTTAACCGTGATACTATAAATAGAAGGTATGACATTACGCCGATAGATACTACGTCACGGTGACACATTGTGGGTGAAGGCGTGGCTTTTACGACCATGTGTGGTCTACTGTTAACACTATTGCCCTGAAATATTAACAAAGCTAGACAAAGGTTTGTCCATCTTTTTTTCCAGCTTTTATTAACCTATTCTACTGTTATTATGTATGCAGACAAATGCTTCTTTTTTACTGGAGATTTTCTGAAGGAACTGCAATCGGTTTCAAAATTCGACCCGTTTTAAGAAAGTAGGTACCTCTTTTGTAAAGGTATTTCATAGCCATCCTTTGTTAGTTGTAGCGAACAAATACATGCTAAAATGTATAGAAAACAAATCACAAGATATTACACAAAATTATTATTTAAATTAAAAACATACAAATGAAATGAATAATACCTACCAACAATTTAAAAAGACCTAAAATAAATAGACTTAGAGGACTGGAGCCCTAAAAAATTGGGCCACAATTTGTTCTGCATCCTCATAAGAAAATTGTCTTCATCTCTTCATATTACCTTTTAAAATAAACCAAAACAGCACAACATTGAAAGTGATCTACTTTTCACGACGTATTATATGTAGTTACATGTGAGAGTATTGATCATTGATTAAATTTTAATATTGTATCCTAAAAAATCTGGGCATTTTATAATAAAAATGTAATTTAAAAAAAACGGTGATATTTTTTTTTCTTATATTGGCAAGGCCTGGCGACTACTATTTCGGAAAAAATGGCGTCCAATATGGACGCTATGTCGCGACCCCCTTGGATATACCATCCCTGCATTGGGATTCTCATCTTTCAATTCGGCGCGTGTTGAGACGACTATCTTCGTTCCACAAAATGCGATATGTAATATCTCTCTATTCAATTGGTTTTACGTATTGAGTACGCACATAAGAATCCCTGTCCTGTTTATACCCTATTATTTGCATATGGGTGAGCAATATATCATTGGATTTTTCCCCTCTGGTTCAGAAGAGCCATCTTAATTTTATACATTTTAACGGACACTAATTGTATACAGAAAATGTTCTCCTAGACTCTACACCTCATATTTAAGACAATAAAAATATCTAACTGTCATAATTCAAAGAAAATAAAAACAGTTATGGCCGACTACAAAAATGCGGATAAAGTATTTTGTTAGAAAATCCTCCACAAATAAATGGGTAGCATTTCTTGCTGTAAAGTGTAAACTATACTCTTTAACCAACTTTACTAAATGAAGGATGTTTTGTAACTGTAAAAGAGTCTTTTAATTACATTTTTCCATTACGGTCCATTTTACAGAAATCATGTAAATAACAAAAATTATAGAGATCGATAACAGTTTAATACCTGATTCACAATGTGGATTTAGAAAAGGTTTTTCTACCGGAACAGCAATAGCTGCGGTAATTGATGATGTTATAGAAGCTCAGGATAGAGGTTTGGATACTGCTTTAGTATTATTAGATTTCTCTAGAGCGTTTGATACAATTAACCATGAGTTAATATGTGCCAAGTTGAAATATTTGGGTTTTGATAATAATTCTTTATTCCTTATTTGGTCTTACCTACTTGGAAGATCACAAAAGGTGTGTGTTGATAAAAAATTCTCATCAAACATTGATATTTTATCAGGAGTTCCTCAAGGCTCGATCCTGGGTCCCCTATTATTCATTATTTATACAGCTGATATTATTAATTCTATTAAAAAATGTTCTATACAGGCATATGCTGATGATACACAACTTTATAAACACTTTGACATTAAAAACTTAGATCAGACGGCTGCAATAATCAACTATGAACTTTTAAATATTTCCGAATCTTCAAAGCAACATGACTTAAATTTAAACTCAAGCAAATCTAAATTAATATTTTTTGGTAGAAATCGGATGTTTCTTAATAGTAATCTTCATTTAAATATTGCGGGTGAGCCATTAGATGTTGTTGAAAATACACGTGATTTGGGTATTATTTTAGATGGTGAACTGAGATTTTGTGAACATATAAAAAGTCTAATGAAAAAATCCTATACGTCGTTAAAATTATTGTATTCTAATCGTCATTTTCTCAGTATCAAATTAAAAATTTTACTTTGTGAATCCCTAGTACTTAGTAATTTTACTTATTGTGATTTTTGTTATTGGCCATGTTTGCTAAAACGAGAAAAACATAGGATTCAAGTTCTGCAAAATTCATGTTGCAGATTAATATTTTCAATTGGCAGGCGTCAGCACATTTCGCATAAAATTAATGAATGCAACTGGCTTAATATGAACAATCGGTTTATACATCATCTAGGTACCTTTATTCATAAAATACTGGTTTCATCTACAACTTCTCGTATTAAAAGTAAATTAATTCCCCACTACCGTATACATGACATACATAAATTTGCTATGCCTAAGCATCGGACAGTTATGTTTCAGAAATCCTTCACATACAATGCTATAAAAATCTACAATTCTTTACCAGAAGAATTTAAATTATTTAATAATAATAAGTTTAAATATAAGTTTAAGTGTCACCTTCTTGATACACAAAGAATAGCTTGTAATATATCCGTGCGTTGAGGGGAGGAATATAGTACATAATATTATTTTTAAACAAAGGTAATTTACAATGTTTTTTTCTCGATTGTCATTGTCCAATTTTTTTTTTTTACTTTAATTACGGATCCTGTGTGGTTAAGTAGGAGTAGCTTTAGCTAGACTTCGCCACTACGAGTTCCGCTTAATTACATTTGATGTTATTATTTGTATACATTTTAATATTTATTTTTTGAATAAAGACGTTTATTATTATTATTATTATTATTATTATTATTATTATTATTATTATTATTATTATTGTTTTGTTGCACTACCTCAGTCTCGAGCAGCTGGGTAGGTGTTTTATCCGAAGCTTTACCAAAGCTCTTGGGATTTTAATAGGTTGTAAATATTTTTTTTTTTTTTTTTTTTAGGCTTCATATCAGGTTAGTATTCTTCGGAGGATGTGTGCAGACCCTAACAATGCTATTTTCTGGACTTCGTATGCATTTGCTTTACCGGGGATTTGTTTTAGATGGTCACCAAATCCTCTTTTGATTAACCCCAAAGTCCCTACTATTACTGGCACAACCTTGGCCTTTACATTCCACATTCTCTGAACTTCTATCTGAAGGTCTTTGTATTTGGAAATTTTCTCCGCCTCTTTAACCATGATGTTCTGATCACTGGGAATAGCGATGTCAATAAGTAAACAGATCTTTTCTTTTCTATTGTGGTATACTATATCGGGGCGGTTGGCGTTAATGGTCCGATCTGTTCGTATGGGGTAATCCCACATGATTGTGATTTCCTGTATATTTACCACTGGCATTGGTACATGCTCGAACCATTTGTCGGGTACTTCACCTCCAAGTTGTTTGCAGATTGACCAATGTATATAACTAGCTACCTTGTTGTGCCGATGAGTATACTCGGTAGCAGCAAGTGTGGTGCATGCACTTAGTATATGCGCGGTTGTCTCTTATTATTATTATTATTATTATTATTATTATTATTATTATTATTATTATTATTATTATTATTATTATTATTATTATTATTATTATTATTATTATTATTATTATTATTATTATTATTATTATTATTATTATTATTATTATTATTATTATTATTATTATTATTATTATTATTATTATTATTATTATTATTATTATTATTATTATTATTATTATTATTATTATTATTATTATTATTATTATTATTATTATTATTATTATTATTATTATTATTATTATTATTATTATTATTATTATTATTATTATTATTATTATTATTATTATTATTATTATTATTATTATTATTATTATTATTATTATTATTATTATTATTATTATTATTATTATTATTATTATTATTATTATTATTATTATTATTATTATTATTATTATTATTATTATTATTATTTATTATTATTATTATTATTATTATTATTATTATTATTATTATTATTATTATTATTATTATTATTATTATTATTATTATTATTATTATTATTATTATTATTATTATTATTATTATTATTATTATTATTATTATTATTATTATTATTATTATTATTATTATTATTATTATTATTATTATTATTATTATTATTATTATTATTATTATTATTATTATTATTATTATTATTATTATTATTATTATTATTATTATTATTATTATTATTATTATTATTATTATTATTATTATTATTATTATTATTATTATTATTATTATTATTATTATTATTATTATTATTATTATTATTATTATTATTATTATTATTATTATTATTATTATTATTATTATTATTATTATTATTATTATTATTATTATTATTATTATTATTATTATTATTATTATTATTATTATTATTATTATTATTATTATTATTATTATTATTATTATTATTATTATTATTATTATTATTATTATTATTATT